GAAAATATAGTTCATTCTTATTATATAAAGTTTGGAAGAAAATAAAGCATTGACACTAATAACAGTCAAATGAATATGATCAATTCCAATGCGAGATGAATCTTTTATTAAGACAGAATAGACATACAGTAGAAAAAAAGTGCCTCCGGGAAAACATATAATTTATGTTCATATGAAAAACTAAAACCATCTGAATATTTCCTGACATAGGGAAACATCTTGATGTTGACAAATTGGATAATGGAAGATTGCTGGCTAATTTCGGTTTAAACGAAACTTTGTAAAATTGGAAAACTGCCAAAAAATAATGGATACGTATGTTTTTTTTTGGAGTTGGTCAAACTCAAGCTTGACCGCTTAGAAATAGTTATTGGATTCCGTGTAATGGAGTCAACACGCTTACAATTTAGAAGAGTTTATTTCCTTACAGTCGTGGTCGTGTATGAAATAGGATGATATACAATGATTTAGAATGTCTTAGAATATGATGAATGTCTAATGCTCTTAACGNATGTCCTTATATATATTTGGTTATCATCGTCAAGTGGAAGGGGAAGGAGCATAGATGACCAACTATTGGATCTTGCCCTTATGACTAACTATTCACAGTCCACTTTTATGTGGACTGTTGCTAGCTTATTGTCAGTATTTGCATAGATTCAATATTGTCTGGGTTGGTCATCCAACATAGCTATAGATAGAAAATATTTTTTTTATCAGAAATTTCTAATATATTTAAAAGTAAGAGTAGTTTCTAATATATTTAAAAAAAGTTACAATCAACAATAAATTTTAAAACATTTAAAATAATTAAATTTGTCATGTTTCTTCGGAAAATATAGTGATGATATAATAAAAAACTAGTACATTGTATATTCTGAAAGCAATGATATATGTATATGTATATGTATATTCATCTTATCTATAGTTGCTTCAATTGCTATCTCGAATTAGAAATAAAATATAAATTAATAATAAAAAAGAGAATTATATAATTATATAATTAATAATAAAAATGAGAATTATTTTCTCTTCATTAGGTAAGCATTTATTAATTACAAGATCATCATCGAATATACGTTCTAGCTCGTTAATTAGCTTATATATTAACTAAAATTCTTCCTTGAGGAAGTTCGAGAAACTTTGTTAAATGGAAGTGTGCAGATCTTTGATTTAAATAATATTATTAAATTATGCATTAAAGAAGTCAAAGTTTATTTTACATATTTATTTTCTTTCTTTTGTAAATGTATTTTTATTTTTATTTACAATTTATTAATTTATCACATAAGTAATAAGGATGTTAGAGATTAGATATTAAGCTTTATATATATATAGTACATCTCATCTTTGATCACATTGAGTATTTGAAGAACAATGTGATAAAAATATTAGATAATAAATAAAAAGTATAGTCTTTCTAAGAAATTTCGACGGAAATATCACCTAAATTACTTGAAACAATAAATAAGCTCATCAAAACATCATATCATATCGTTACTAGTGGCAATTTGTTGATGGCGGACACTACAATTAAAGCTTTAATATTACTTCGGAACAACTTTTGCATCTATGTATAAATTAAATTCTGCACTAAAATTTCTCATTTATCTTATGTATATATATTTGAAATATTTACACAAGATATGGCGATCAACAAATTCACTATGTAATACACATTAAAATATTAAAAATCACTTGATGTTTCTCTCTCTCTTTCCCTCGATAGTAGATCGACAAAGCAGCGGCTGAAGTGATACTCGTTTGCAATATTATACCATACCACGATAATTTAATTACATTCATTTCAGTAACATAAAAGTCGAAAAATGACCATTATCAAACCAATTCAGGTCAATAGTTAAGTAGTACTTTCAAAAATTGCTCAGATGAATTTATTTGTGGATTTAAAAGCAAACAAATGCAATATTGATTGCTTTGCGGTTAAACGTTGAAAGGTAATCTAGTTATATGGTGTACTCATACTGAATAATTCTAAATTACATTACTCAATTATCTCTAATTTAAAAACTTTATTTTGAAATTCTAATTAGCCAATCCTAATTGGCCAAGGAGTAATTACAATAACCGAAGTAAAGCTTTAAAAAGAAAGAGCTGATTACGTACCAAATAAAATCTGAAGCTGTCATTTCCTTCAGAAATTCATAAAAGTAATTACTAAATTGATGTATTTTTAGAAAATTTAGATTCCAAAAATCTGAGTCTATTTAAATCTACAAAATTTATATAATATTCTAAAATATATAAATAATAAATATATAACAATAGAGCATTTATTGTAATATCTATTGGATAAAACAAACTCTTTAAATTCCATTTCTTTAATTGTGTTCATAAAAATATTATAAACGTCTAGTAATCTATTGCCTATATTTTCGAAAATTAAATCATCCATATCTATCTGTAAGGATTCATTCAAGAATCATTAGATTAAGTGCTTTCCATTATAAATTAAGAAAAAAGAAGTCAATTGAAACAGCATATCAATTACCCTAAAATTTTCCATAAATTTAAATACGATCGAAAACATACAATAGATATCCCAGAATTACATCATGTGACATTGTTAAGCCATTAACAATCGAACAACAGTTTTCATAATGTTGTAAATATTTTCTTTAAATTTTATAAAATTGTAAAATCTAGATAAAAGAAACAGCAACAAGAAAAATATTAATCGAATTTCTTTAGTTCGAACTTCTTAATAACAATATTGAAAAAAATTACAAGTGAATTTTAGCATTAACGCAATATTAATTTTCAACGAATTAATGACACTATAATTTTACGTATACCCTTCACTTAAATATTTATAGTACCTTATTCAGCATTAGATAAAGTTATTGGCAGCTTAGTGGTTTAAAAGAAGAAAAAAACACGCAAATGCTTCTGATTTAATCTACCTAAATCCAATTATACCATGGGAGATTTACTTGCCACCCACGAGACCGAGAATAGGCCATTCAATACGGCTGAGCCATGCAGACACTTTCGCATTCAAAAAAAGAAGTTCCGCAACCGCAACCGCAACCACAGCGATCGCCGCTGTTGTTTTCGTGTGTCTGAAAAACAAAATGACTTAGGAGTTATTAACGATATAAACATAAACATATTTTCTATTTATGTGCAATAGCTCTACGCAGATTTGTTGCTAAGGGAAATGCAGCAGAATCTATTCTAATTATGGATCAAATTTCATAAGCCTCAACATTGAGAGAGTTGCACGACTGTTCTGTTCTAAGTTCTTTCTTGTTTTATTCTAAGAAACATCAAATCAGACTCGATAACTCGTCATCATGAACATATCTATTGAGACCAGCAGTACGCACTAATTCATAATGCAAACATACTTCAAAATTTTTTAAGTTAGACATTTATGTATACCGTCAGATAGTTTACCATATACTTTATTTAATTTTCATGTGCAACGAATTTCTTTCCATAATAATTGCCGTGCCATAAACCATTACATGCTAGAAATATCTTGCCAATAACAAGGCATAATTTCCAAAAGATAATGAGTTCACTTACCATACTGCTACTACATTCAAGTCAATAACGGTAACAAAAACTTCTAAAAACATTCTTGCATGTCTTTGCCCATTTGTGAGTTTTAACTTTTCATGAAATTTTTGAAAGAGAGAATCTCTGATGAGGTTGAATTTAAATTCACTTTAGCAAGAAATAGATCCGATCACAAGAAATAGTTAATGATAGTTAGAGATGACAGAATCAACTGCTTTACAATACTTAGTTAAGAATTAATAAGGCCCGATGCAGATGAATGGTTTGTGGCAAACTGCCGCAACGGCAGCATGCTCCACACTGGATAGAACTGTTCGCAAACATTTCACTAACAGAAACTATATCGCATCTACACTACTATTGGCAAGCAGTTTATTTAAAATTTTTGATATTGATTATTTTTGATATTTGATATTATAAAATAAAATATTTGCTTAAATATAATCTCGGATTTTGTTTTACAAATATTATAATTTATGCCTTTCTATTAGTAGCATTGTGTGTATTTTTCTTTTTTATTAAATTCTCCTTATTTTTAGAAAAAAATTTCAAATATACTTAAAATATACTGGGTATTGTATGCATCACTTTCTTTACATATTAACAGCGGTGCTTGTAACGTAGTTATTTTTTGTTAAAGTCATATAATATTGTATAGAAATATTATTCTACCTCTCGTATGTTTCATTAATAGAATGATTTCTTCGGTATGACTCAAGAACTAAGTTACAATGTTAACTTCAATCAATGACGCAAACATTTTGTTTAAAATTTCTTTTTGTCAAAAATTTTTTTAGCGCTTTTATTTAATAGAGATTTCGTCGAACGTTTGTTTACATGTTTGCACTTGCCTCAATTGAATAGACATATTTATTGACGTAACTGTTGCATCGGTCTTGGATGTGTTAACTATATTTAAAAATAATTTATAACTGATATCTAAGATTCTCGCTATTTAAATTAAGGTTAAATTTAGATAATGGAACTTCGTTTCATAAATTGCATTATAATAATTAGTTTTTATGAATAACCAATTTGAAATGTCTCGAGACAATTATTACAACTGCATAATGAATAATAAATTATCTTACCGTTGATGACGTGTAACTAGAGTTAACGGTGGCCAACATTAATATAGCAATTACTTCTTGCTGTTGTATAACTTTGTGGAGTTTGTACAGTTATCGGCTATGATCGACACGTTCCGTTGCGACACAATGTTACAAACAAATATAAAATTTTTACGTAAATTAGTGATATCTTGCTGTATCCAACTTTAATTAATCGCAATTGATTCAATGGGAGATGTGTAGAATTGATAAGTTTGGTACATGGATAAACTTTGTTGGATTGTATAGACTACTAATGTGAAACTCTGATAGATTGTCTTGGTTAGAAAGACTTTCAAGAAAAACCTGCCGGGAAAGATTTCAAGTAAAAATTGACTGGAAAAACGTCTCGCCAGGTCCTAGTTCCAAAATTCCACATGCTGATTGCTTCTCATTGAAGGCACCAATCAGCATGGTTTCACGCACATCCAAAGTGCAATTCAATGGAGAGAGATCGTGCTCTACACGACGAAAGGTCGATCGGACTATTGTTCGAAACAGATAACTGCATTTTGAGATGACTGTGTTTATTATTGGTTGCAGAAAGATTTGACTATGATGAGCTGTTTGAGAAATATGGAATAGCATCGTTACGATTAGTAAACGCATTGGAAAAATAAATTTAGACGAAAATACAGATATTGTAAAAATGAAAATTTTGTTAACTATAGAAAATCATTGTCATTGCCATTTAAAAAAAAAATACATCTGCTAGCTTGATGAATTTATTTTCCTATTACAATCTATTGTTTATTGTTTTTTATTAATTTATACATTTCTTCATTTTGATTCAATATTTACATAAAGTATAGTTAAAATTTTTAATGAAAATGGACTTAAAATTTTTATACAATTCTATTATCTTTAATTGTTTTTGTAATGCCTGTATTGCAACTGATTGTGTCAGTTGGAAGTACTTTTATCAAAACACATTTAAATTTGATAGTTAAGTTTATTATCCACCATAAACTTGTTTGATGTAAAGAATAATAAAACGTTTTTTTCGTTAGAGCGAAGAATATGAACTATAAGTAATTTCAACAAAGTCTACGAAATTAAATACACTATTATTTTTTAATTATTGAGATACATAAAAGATTCAGTATATATGTTACAGATATATGTTAAAACTGGTTTTAATCACAAGTGATACTAAATGTCAACCATTAATTTAATAACTCAATGTTAGGTATTCACAGGTTTCTTACAGATTGTATATACAATTGTTGAATATTTAATTTATTTATTTGAATCATTTTTAAGACAACAATATATTAATTGGATAAAATTTTACTCTTCTAATTAAAACTACCTGGCTTTAATTAAATACAGAATTCAATATCTATCAAAATTATAAGTTGGTGGAAATTTCTAAACTGAATTATATGGATTAACTGAAATATTGCTTTAATTTCATTTCTCCTTACTTCGGAAATCAACTTTTTACTCAGTTTTCTCTAAAAACAAACCACTTATCATCACTTTTATAAAACATTTCTTTTAAAATAGGAATAAGTAAAAATTGTAACAATTTTTGTATAATTCACCTCAAAAATGTTTTGCAACTCTTGACAATAATTAATTCTTAAATCTTTAACAAATTATTTTTCGTGGGAAATTGGTTCTTGTTAAGAAATCTCTGATATCATTTACATATACAGGGTATCCCGCATTCTTCCGTACATACTTTGAGAGTGTGTTCTACAAGTAAAAGTAAGACTAAAATGCTATATAATAAGAAGTCCATAAATGCTTTGTTGAGAAGTTAAAACAAAAATAAGAAATGTGAAAGATGTGATAACGCTAGTTTAATACAAGGCAAGACGACATCCGTAATGTCTATGTTAAGTAACATAAACATGTAGATTGGGATATGTTTACTGTTTTTGTAATTTTGTATGGGTAAATGAGAATCCATATGCTGTAAGAGAAAGATCATTTCACCATCAATTCAAATGCAATGTTTGGTTGGGCATGTAAGACGAATTTTTAATCGGACCTTATTTCCTTCCTGAGCGGTTGTGGGAGAATCTTTTCTAACATTTTTAACAAATGATCTCCCGCCACTGTTAGAAGATGTATCTTTATCATTACGTCAAAACGGCTGGATACAATTGGATGGGTGTCCAGTACATTATGCCCGCTGTGTAAAAAATTGGCTTAATAGACAATATTCCCAAAGATGGATTGGTCGAAGGGGACCAATTTCCTGGCCACTTGACCTTACTCCTTTTTACTCATGGGACACTGTAAAATAGAAAGTTTACAGAAGTACGTACAAGAGACGAATTAATTACAAAAATCAACATCGCAACCAACTGAAATCAACAATAAATTCTATAACTCGTCGATGTCACTTGTGTCAATAAAGGCGGGCGTCACTTTGATGTACATACTGTTGTAGGTACATTTAGCAGCATTTAAATCATATTTTGTATTTTTGTCATAAATTTGTAGCGGCTAGTAGATGTCGGACAGAAAAGTTAGAATTTACGAATGAGTCGTGTCGCCTACGTTATTGAATTGCGAAGACCAAGTTTAGTTTTTTTAGAGTGCGTAAGACGTCCGCATTTATAGCTTTAGAAATTCGGCCACAATAGCATTTCTGCGAAGCGTCGTAAACTCTTGGATTCCTGAAGGGCCACCCAAATCAGTATCTGGAAAACACTTGGAGAAAGTAAGTGAGGCCCAGAGGAAACCCTGCTACACCGCCACAATTCAGGGAAACTGGTCCCGGCGAAATTGCAGCCCCACTCAGAGAAAATGCGTCACGAACGCAAGGAATAGGCGGCGCAATTTCGTGACAACCCAATTGGCTAAAACTCAAAAACGATTTGGCCAATTAGGGATACCCGAGACGGGGACCGAGTTTTCTTCATAGCGAAGAAGCAGTAGAAAAGAAGAGAAGAATTCGGACAAATAAACCCGCAACGCGATCGACGACATGTTCACCGCGTCTTCCGAATTCCGCGCACCTTCGTGTAACATAGCGAAATAAACGTTGTTAACCACGAACACGTGTCTACCAATCTTTCACCTCACACTATCTAGCAAACATCCCCAAAAATTCTTAACAAAGCATTTATGGACTTTTTGTTATATAACATTTTACTTATTTCTACTTGTAGAACCCTGTATATATGATATATACAGAATGGTCAATTTAAGTGAGGCCATCTAAATATTTTTTCGAATTGTGGTGCAAAAAATATTTTTTATCTAACATGAATGGTATCAAAAAACCAATAACTGATAAGAATTTTTTTTTTCCAAAATTATTTTATTGGAATTTTTAAAGTTATTGATGTTTTTTTTACATAACTATATTTTTTTTATTGTATTGTATAATTAATAAAAAAAAATACGTTTAGATATATAAAGAACATGACCATAAAAATTTAAATTTTAAGTAAATTTATCTCTACCTAAGTTTTAAGTAAATTTATCTCGTATAAGTAAATTTATCTCTATATTACGATCACAGAGCTTGGTAAAGACGTATCTTTGTATATTCGAACTATTTTTCCCAATGGCCACTGGCCATTTTTATCATAAATGAATATTATGTTGATCTTTTCATTGAGTATTTTATTATGAATTACTAGTAAATTTCGATACACTGACTAGGATTTCAAACTACTAGAAGAAATGATCATTGACGATATAATAAATAGAAAAATATGTTTATTTACATTTATTATTCGCTTCTCGATTGTCGCGTCTTGGCCAAGCTTTATCACGATAGATATAAATTTACCTATAAGTAAAACTCAAATTTTTAAGTTATTTTTTTTATCAGCTATACAATTAAAGAAATATATATAGTTAAATGAAGAAAAAGATCAATAATCTTGAATACTCCGAGAAAAATGACCTTGAAAAAAATTATTCTCACCATTTGTTAATATTTCAATTGCGTAAATTATTTTGTACATAAGATGTTAAATTTTTCGCCCACAATAGGATCTATCATTCTATTTTTTGTAACGGTAACAGCTTCTCCGTTTTTCATAGTAACAAGAAATCACGGATTGTTATGCTATACGATTTATAATATATTACGTTATATTATTTTATTGTTTTATTCACGACATGTCGGTTATGTTTAAAGTATTTTTGAAACGGTTGAGAGCGATCATATTGATGTTTAATTTTACCGTTTTCAGGGGAATCACGTTAGGTAATTAAACGGTATGGAGCTTCAAAATGATTGGCCTGCGTATGACTTAACATTTCTATGAAACAGGCCTGCCGTCAGTGGGGGAATTAAGTGCGATAAAATCAGTGCGATAATAATCATACAATCACTCCGTCGTCAATACGTTATTATTACGATTCGGGCTATGGCGTATAATATACCGTCGTATCTTGGCTATTACTATTGGCTATTCTGCTGTTACTACGTGAAATAGTCATTAAGAATTAGTCAATTAGTTAATTGTAATTCCACGTGATGTCTGATCCACGCGAATCTAACATTTATATATCATACAGTTTACTCAACGCGATCTCGGATCATCTATCGGAATCGTATCATTCTATTATAATACTTCATCACACGGTCACCTCAAATACAAGCACGCGAATCGGTCCATATCGCCTGAAACATCGCGCTGCAACACTAATTTATTAGCTTTTCGATATCCTATATTTTTTGAATCATCACAATTCGAAAAGATATCCTCACTTAAGTGGACCATCCTATATATACAATCTTACTAATTCAATAATACAATACAATTTGATTTTAATTTTTCTATATCATTTGTCTTTTTCCGAACTAAATATTTTAAGTAGCATGATACAAAGTATAACATAAACTACTCAGAATGAACGCTAATATTGATGACTTATCTATACCATTTCATTTTCTGGATACGATAAAAACATCGAAGATTTAAATAAAAAAAATTCTTAATGTATCAAAAACGTTTACAAAATTTTATGCTAAATTGAGGTTATATATCATTAATAAAATTTATTATTAATAAAAAGTTAATTTTACTTAAAGATTAAAATTAAATTATAAGGCTGCATAAGACTCACTTTATTATTCAGATTTGATTTACTCAATATTGAGGATTTTGTTTAAATTAAATTATGTTGTAATTCATATTTATTCATATTCATATATATTGTTGTATTCATAAAACAAGAAAAGAACTAAATTATTTTGTTTTTTTTAAATTGTTTAAAAGATACAGATTCTTAAAATAATTTTTTTTTGAGTGAGATTTAATTTTTATACTTCCTTTATAAGCTGGCATGAGTAGTCTTTTAATGGTTCCATCGTAAGGACTGCCGGAATAGAGCGGTAAACCAGGCATTGCGCTTACTTGAATCTCTGTAAACCGCAGCATTTGTCAGTCTGCTCTCAGCACAATTTTAAGGTTCACGAAGTAAAAGAGTGTAAGTTAAAAAGGAAGAAAATATGAAAACATCAAATTTTTCAAAACATAAACCAGAGATTAAATTTGTAGAATAAAAATATTTAAATATTAATTTTTCACATATATCTTCTATGATATTTTCTAAATCTTTTGTGAAAGTAGCTTTTATAAAAATTAATAAAAACTAGCAACTTAGGAAATCTATATCTTTTAGAAGAATGTTGCAATAACTCTTTATTTTTATACAAAAATATAAATTTGCTGCAAAATAAATTATGATAATAGTTTCGTTTAGACATGAATAATTATAATTGATTAAGATTAATGACTAATAATTC